AAAGGATTCAAGAGGCAACAACAGAGAAGACAATTGTCTCCTTTCACCATCCATACAAACCACAGGTGTACCTAGATATATTAAGATAAAATACAGAGGAGCAAGAATATGGCCATAGGGCAGGAAAATCCACCAAAGATTTGGTGGCTTCACAATAAAAATAATCTTTATGACGAAAGCTACCTTAAACCAAGTTGGAAGATAAAATGGGATGGTAAGAAGCACTGAATTGCTGTGTGGCATGGGGTGAAGGGGGTTCAGTAAATCCTTGGGTCTCAAGCCCTCATCACAGGGCCTTGTATACAGCTGGCACTCAATTATGGCTACTCAGCCTCTGCATGGACCTCAGTTGGACCTCTTCCCCTCCAGCGACTGGGAGCTCACCCCTTGACTGTCTGTCTTCTGCTGGGAATACTGTCCAAGCACCCCTGCATTCAGAGGGAGGGGAAACACGGAAGCTAGCCCGGAAGGCCCTGAGGGGGAAGCATCAGCCCGATTTGCAGATGGGGAAACAGGCCTTAGGGCACCCCCCACCCTGCAGTCACCCAGCACAGGTCCGGAGGCTCGGATTGTCACTTCTTTTTATTGAGTTACAAGTTGAGATGTGCAGGTTCGGTGGCATCAGGCCCCCAAATCTCTTCCCCCTTGGGTGACAACAGCTCCCAGCACTGGGGAATGGGGAGAGGGGAAAGGTCTTGGGCAATGGGGCGGGGCCCCGAGGGTCCCTGGATCAAGCACTGCAGACACGGAAGATAGCAGGGTGGGCGGCCAGCCTCAGCCATGGCCTTGATGGGGGAGGGGGCTTCTGTACAAGGTCATCCTCCACGGGCGTTCCAGCTGCCACGGGATGGGCCCCACAGGACGCAAGCAGAGAGCGGTGTCCACCTGGTTCCCTCAAACACCAGGCCCTGCCCAGCCGGCCTGGGGTTGTCTTCCCCGCCTGACCTCGCTCACCACCAGAGCCAAACAACTTGCCCAGGTGGTCCTGGCTGCAGACCTGGAGCCGGCTTCCATCCTGCTCCTCGCTCCTTGGTGATGCCTGGCCCGCCCAGCGGCTACTTCTTCTCCTCTGGGGGCACGGGCGGGGGTGCTGGCAGGGCTTTGGGTGAGGGTTCAGGCTCCCAGAGCAGGAATTCGTGGAGTAACGTGTTGACCGTCTCTGGACACTCCAGCATCACCATGTGGCTGCCTTCATCAATGAGCTTCAGGAAGGCCAGGAGCAGGATCTGCATGGGAGACAGGTTCAGGGCGGGTGGGGCCAGGATGCCCTGGACTCCCTGCCAGCCAGTCATGGCCCGAAACAGGGGGAAGTCCCTCCTGTAGTCTACTCTTCATCCCTCCACTTGTGCCCAAGAAGAAGCTGGAAGATGGCCCTGTTGCCCTGCTGGAGCCCAACTCGATATTCACTCCATATTTATTAAGTTCCAATAATATGTCCAGAGCAGGATTTCTCAACTTCAGCACTACTGACATTTGGATCCTTCTTTGCTGTGGGGCCATCCTGTTCATTTCAGGGTATTGAACAGCATCCCTGGCCTCCACCCACCAGATGCCAGTAGCACCTTCCCCTCTCCTCCGTCATGACAACCAAAAAGTCTACAGATATTTCTAAGTGTCCCCTGGTGGGGGTGGGGGGTGGGGTAGCAGAATCATCAGTGGTTAAGAACTGCTGGTCCAGAGCTATTCAAAGTATTAAAGATCCCAAGACCATTTTTTGGCAATCTCTGACCTGAAGACCCCTGGCCCACCCTCTCCAAGAATTCTGTAGCCTGTTACTGGTCACTTATACAAATCTCAGATGTGAAGTATTTTTTTATGTGCTGGGGGAAAATGTATAATCCTAACAGGTGGCCAGGGAAGCCCCACTTTCTGAATTCCACCTCTGACCCTCGATCTAACCTCTCACGTCCCTGGGGTTGGAAAATATAGCTGAGTCGTCCTGGGCTTCAAGTGGGGGATTTGGGGGTGTGGTGACCGGGGTGCCATGCCCTACCTCAGCCATGCGCTGGTCTTCTTCCACTGGCACAAATTTGTCGTGCATGCCATGGACGAGCAGGACAGGCACGGTGAGCTCGGCGTGGTAGACCTCATCGCCCTCGGGCCAGTACTGGCCACTCATCATGGCCCTCAGCACGAAGGATGACACATTGAATGCATTGCCCTCCTTCAGTAGCTGCTTCTCTTTGGCCCCTTGGCGGGCGAAGCCGGCTCTGGTGGTGGGGAGGCACTGCTGGAGCCCTTGTGCCATCCAGGCCACCAGGGGTGACCCCCATGCCAGCCCCAGTTGTACAGCCTCCCCTTCCACCCAACTTGGGGAGGCACTGCGGTCTGCCAGGGCTGGGGTCACTCACTTGAGGAAGCTCCAAGCCAGGCAGGGTGACAGGCAGTGCAGGACACACGTAGGCATGTTGAAGATGGAGCAGAAGCTGGGCTCCAGCGCTGTGGGGCCCCCGCCATTGATCATGATCACTTTGTGCACCAGGTCTGGGTACTCGTGCGCCAGGAACGTGCAGAAGGAAACACTGCCCAGTGGATGGGTGGTGGGTGGGGTTGAAGGGTGGTGGTCAGCAGAGTACAGGCAATGAGGGAGTTAATATACTCCCCTCACCCCAGAGGCAGGTCTTTGAAGGCCAAGATTCTCCCCCTGGGGACCATGGGTACCAGATTCGGGTGAATTATGTGTGGGGCATCTCGAATGCCCCAAAACTGTGAGCTTGTGTGCTGAGTGTGTGTGTGTGTGTGTGTGTGTGTGTTTTTTTGAGAGAGGATCCAAATATATAACTTTAATCAGATCCTCAAAGTCACCATGATTTCCAAAGGGGTAAGAATTACTTATTGCTAAGTGTTGGCAAAGCAGTCTGATTAAACTAACCCTTTGGTTGCCCTGAGAAAGTCATTTTCCTGTGAATCTCTTCCCTATAAGGATCTTCTCTCACTGGCCTCTGGTGTGCCATATCTTCCTGCCTTAGACAAGGTGGGAGAGTGCAGCCCGAGGAGCACCCCCCAGTCCAACTCCTCACTCTCTCTAAAGCTGGCCACTTGTTTTTGTAAACTAAGGTTACAATTCTGTAAATTTGTAAAATATTTTGTAAATAAAGTTTTATTGGAACACAGCCATGCCCACTTACAATTATGGCTGCTTTCCTGCTATGACATTAGAGTTGTGACGTTCCAGAAAAGACCAATGTATGACCACAAACTTAAAATATTTACTATCTGGCCCTGTAAGAAAAAATGTGCCAATCTCTGCTGTAAAGAGGGACAATAGGACAGGCAGAAGTCAGGTGAACCTGACTGTGCCAGTGACTCACTGTGTGCCCTTGGGCAGATTGCTTAACCTCTCTGAGCCTCCGTCTCCACACCTGTGAAAGAGTAACTGTGCTGACCTCATAGCATTGTTATGGGGTCACAGGAACTACCTCAGATGGGGGCTCATTTAATTGGAGGAAATCATTTAGCATAAGCATCCACTGTGGTGTTGTTATCATATAAACAAAATAAGAGCTATGTTACCTCCCATCCTAGTTTCTATTTTTCTGGGAATTTATGTAACATTTATTTTTTTTGTCTAATTGCATGGGCTACAACTGCTAAACTAGTGGTTCTCAACCTGGCTGGCTGATTGACTCTTGCCTTTCCCACTGGTAAAGGAAGGAGTGGTAGCCCTTGATGGTGATCAGACACCCAGGCTCAGAGCCTTCCATCAAGTGGACTCTCATCTGAATGCTAGATGGTATTATCTATCACCCCTTTAAGGGAGGGTAAATTATAGTAAACTGTGCCTTGTAAACAGAATTTAAAGGATTCCAATTAGCCCTTCCTTGGAGTTCTCTCCATGGTGACAAATTTTTTTTTTTTTTTAGGTGAAGTAATCCTTGGTTGACCTCACAGATTGCAAGGACCTTGTCGGCTTACAATCCCTTATTTTTCATTTTTTATTTACACTTACAGTACCTGGTCTTCCTAGATGGTCTCCCATCCAAGTACTAACCAGGCCCAATCCTTCTTAGCTTCTGAGATTAAATGGAATTGGGCACGTTCAGGGTGGCATGGCCGTAGACTGACAAATTTTTTAACTTATGTGAAGACAGTGTTTCTCAGCTGGGGTGATTCTGCCCACCAAGGAACCTTTGGCAGCATCTGAAGACACTTTTTATTTTCATGATCATCAGTAGATCATTGTGTTAGTGGCATCTAGTGGGTAGAGGTCAGGGATGCTGCTAAACATCCTACAGGGCATAGAAAATAATTACCTAATCAAAAATGTCAATAGCGAGAAACACTGCTTTTAAAAAATGCGAAACAATAGTACCGGTGGTGGTACAATCCCTGTCTCGTTGCAGATGTTAATGGGATCTTTCACAGAGGGAAATCAGTGTTTTACAAAGGGGTGTCCAGTCCCTACCAGCCCCCATCCCTTACCCCCACCCCAGTGTTGGCTCACCCGTAGGAATGCCCAATGAGCACATTTCGCTTCTTGGCATAGCGCTTGAAGATGGCGCGCATGTCCTCTGCCAACGCATAGAAGGTATAGGCTGCAGCCACCTGAGGTGCTGAGCTGGCCCCATGGCCGGCCAGATCGGGTGCCACCACCTCGTAGCCCAGGCGAACAAAGAAGTCCAGCTGCTCCTTCCAGATGGCCAGGGAGCCACCAACGCCATGGATGAAAAAGAGCACCACATCTGCCTGGGCACCCTTGCAGCTGGTGATGCGCTTCTCACAGTCAATGTGGATGGTCCTCTTGGGGCGCCGGGCTCGCCGCCGTCGCCCTGCGCTGCCACTCCCGCTGTTGCCCGTGCCCGAGTGGCCATCATTGCCCGCTGCGTCTGCCAGCTCTACCTCTAGAGAGGCTGGCGGCTCCCCGGAGCCATTCTGCCCGTGTAGGAGGTCAGCTCGTGGTGACCGGCCCAGATTCTCCACTAGTAACCTCCCGTTGCGGTACACGGTGATTCGGCGTTGGCAGTGGACCAAGCCAGACCGGTCCCCCTGGGCAGTGTCAGGCAGCGATGGAGGTGGGGTAGGGGCCGGAGCAGGTCCAGCGTGCTTCACCCGCAGTACACGCCCAGGCTTGACCTCCACGAAAGTGTAGCCATCGCTGGACTCCACACTCTCCAGCGGCCCCACTGCATTGGGTGGCGCGCCCAGTAGGCAGCAGAAGATACCGTCAGTCACCCCAGTCAGCATGATGTGTCCTGTGAGTGGGGGTGACAGCCAGCTCAGGGGCGGTGGAAACTCAGAGCCCTCCACCTCCACAGCATCTACTTCCCACACCTGGATCAGGTGAGTCACCCTGGGACACCACTTCTAGGCTCCAGTTTTCGAAGACCAAAGCTAGCCAAGCACCAACATGTTCCGTCTGGTCAGTGCCTGAGCAGTGGTAGGCTACCCTCCTGGGCCAGCTTAGTCTATCTTAGAGAGGACCTGTCTATGGCTGACAAATAAGGAGCATCCATAGTCGTGTAGTCAGGGAGGACTTCCTGGAGGGGGGGGGCATTGCAGCAAATGTGGCTCAGCGCTAAGGACCTCCCCAGTTCAGATTTATAGCAGCTATGGTTTCCTAAGCCCATTCATTCATTCATTCATTCATCCGTTCATTCATTCATGCATGCATTCTTTCAGTAACTCACTATTACTAAACTAACGTGTCTTGAGGGCCTCTGAAGGCATCTAAAACTGTGCAAATCTTAATGAGCCCCAGTCCCAGATTTCTGAATCTGAATCCTGAAAGGTGAGGCCCTTGGGGATGGGGTTAGGGACTGAGCTCCAGAGGCCTGTCCATCTCTCCAAGACCATGGGGTGCTGGGTCTGTTTCACAGACTGAACAAGCAGAGGCCCAGACACTAGATTCTGGGGGTCTGCCACACAAACCCCAATGGTGGACATGAGGACAGAGAAGGCAGTACTCTGCCTGGGGGCTTCCAGGCCTCAATCCTGCTCCCTGGGCCAATACCACTGTGTCCATGGCAACCACAGGCAGTTACATAACTCGAGGGGGATACCCGCGCAGCACACCCCCATTGTCTTGGCCCTGGAGATGGGACCAACTCCTCCCCTGTGCCCATCCTTGGAGCCGCGGGAATAACGCACGCTGAAGGCCTTCAGTGGACCGCACTTGCTGATGGAGGGGGAGCAGGCCGCATCCCCCTACTCTGGCGGGGTCCCAACCCCAGATTGCGGAGGAGGACACGTGCGCCACATCAGTCCCCTCCCCAGAGAGGTCCTTGCCTTCCGAGTGCCCGTCAGCCCTGTGGCAGGGTCAAGGCCACTGGGGCTCCGCAGCTTCCTAAGAGTCCGAGAGCGGGCTTTGTGGTCACCCTCCTCTGAAGTGGAAGCCGGGGGGACCTCGACATCACCCTCCCAGGGCCCACTACTCGCTCACCTCATCGAGGGTCCCCGGGCCCTGGGCAGGGCGGAGGGGTCCCCGGCAGAGAAGTCACCGTCTGCCTGCGGGTGCCGTTTACATGATGGCGCAGGGTCAGACCGGGTGCGTCTACCGCGGGCCAGAGCGGGCCCTGGTGGGTCAGCGAGGGGCCATCCCACCGCTGCTGAGCAAACCGGCCCTTTAAGTCTCTGCATGGGGGGCGGAGCCACGTACCGACGGACGGGCATCTCGACCAATCGCAGCTGCAGATTGACCTGGCCTAGTTAGACTATCAATCAGAAGCGGCATCTCCAGGATGGGGGCGGGCTCTGGAAGCAAAGACTTCGCCCCCTTCAGGGGCTTAAGGAGGAGGAAGGGATTGGGCCTGGCCCAGGGCCGAGGAGGGGTCGCAACCTGGGGTTTGCGGAGCTTCTAAGAGGTGGCACCCGGAGACCCCTCGCTGTGACTAAGATCCCTTCGTCCAGCCCCTGCTTCCGAACTGCCCTGTCCCCTCGAAATGAAGCCCCCATACCCCTTCCTCTGAGCTGATCTTTCTGTCTGGAGACTCCCAGATCTTTCCAATTTCAGGTGGGGAAATAGAGGCTCATAAAGGGTACAAGGTTACAAGGCAAGTGGAGGGGAGTCAGAAATGGGATTTGGAACCTCGGCTGTATGATTCCAAGTACTGGAAATTTATTCGTTAAACCGTTGAACAGAAGTCTTGGCCCTCTGGGTAATTAGGGAACTGGAGTTTCCCAGATCGGCCAATTTAACCGGTGACTCTGTGTTCCCAGCCGGAATCAGAGAACCAGGGTTCAAATGCAACCTTTGCCCTTTACAGATATGTGACCTTGGGCAAGTTGCTTTCCTGAGACTCCATTTATATTTCTATGAAATTAATCCTCTCATGAGTTCTCTATGCAGGTAAAATAGCACGGTAATCGCTCAATACTTTATTGGCATTATTGTACTGGTGTAGTATTATACTGGTTTGCTAAATGATGGTGTGGGTAGGATGGACTTCAGAGGACAGAGGTTCAGAACACAGGGCTTGCTCACTCCCATCTCCTGGAATTTGTGGCCAGAGCTGGATTAGGTCCAGCCACCCACTCCTGCCCACTCGGAGTGCTCCTGAGAGACAAGTTTATTCTTGCACTAAATGCTCCCTCCTACCAAAGCTGGGAGATGCTGGGGTGCCTACAGGAACTCAGCCCTGAACCTGGCCCTTGAGGGGCCCCTAGGCTCCCATGTGGGGCAAGGTTGAGCTCGAAACAGGGACAGGGCTGGGGGAGAGACTATCTGAAAAGAGTTTTTAAAAGATGAATAGGGAACACTAAGCAGGGGAGGGCGTGTCTTAAATTTAGGATGCGTGTGTGTGTGTGTCGACGGATTCACGTGCCTACCAAAGGAGCTGAATATTTTCCCTGCGACAATGGGGAGCCATAGAGGGTGTGTGAGAAAGGAAGGGGCTCAGATCTGAATATTAGAAAAATTCTTCTAGAGCCCAAATGGGGGCATTGCCAAGGGCAAGCTTGCATTCCATGAGTTTTACAGATTAAGAAACTGGATCCCGAAAAGGAGCAGAGCTCATCTCAAGGACATCCAGCTAACTCGAACTCAGGTCTCTTGGGCTCACCGCCAAGGGGCGGAAACTTGGCTGGGGCCAGAGGAAAGCTGCCAGCCAGCTGTATGCCATCTGCCGGGCTCCCGCTGGAGGTGGGAGGATCAACCAGCCGTTTCCTGCAGCTGCCACCAGCTGCGCACGGCCACCCCAGCGCACCCTCTGTCGGTCACCAGGAGGAACTACAACCCCCAGCAGACCCCGGGATATAATGCTTGTACACACGCGCAGGAACTGCCGTTGGCTGGCCCCTGCTGGTCCACAAGGGGAACTACACCCCTCTTAGGGTATGGCCTCTCACGCCTGTGGTGCGCAGGCGTAGAACTACAACTCCAGGAGGCCCCCGCGGCAATGTGGGCTTCTCTGTAGAAAAACTACATTTCCCAGAAGTCTCCGTTCCACGGCTGCGTAGCCTATGGGTTTCGAAATAGTTGTCGCGAGCGACGGCGGCGTGACCCGCGGCTAGAGATGGCTCTGGTGGGCAGATCTCCAAGTTGTCTCTTGGGTCGCGTTAATAGGTCGGCGGCGCTACTTGATGTTAGGTGAGTCCTCAGGGGGACCCTCTCCCAAATCTGGAAATTAAGTGGTGTCGGGAGCTGGCGCCAGCTGTTTACCAGCCACATGACTTGCGGGTGACTTGCGCACGTATGGAGCGCTTTTTGCAGCAAGACTCTGTCCCAGCAGGGATCGGGAAGCTCAGAGAGGTTGCTCAGAGAGGTTGAGCGCCAAGCAAAGTCACACAGCGACCCTTCTGACCTTTCTCGCCTTCTCTGCCCCCGCAGGTGGCTTCAACCCCAGGCCTGGCTGGGACTTCTCGACTCCTGGGGACTCCCGTCTACGCAGCCGAACCGGGGCAAGGCTCGCGGGAACGAGTACCAGCCGAGCAACATCAAACGCAAGCACAAGCACGGCTGGATCAAGCGCTTGAGCACGCCAGCCGGCGTCCAGGTCATCCTTCGCCGCATGCTCAAGGGCCGCAAATCACTGAGCCACTGAGTGCGACGCTGCTGGTGGGACCTCCATTAAAGCATTTCCCTCGACTCAGACTTCTCCTGCTGCTTTTTGTGGGGAAGTTGGACAACTCAGACATGAGTGCTTCTCCAGTTGTGGGGTTGACCCAGGGATAGAAGTCTGGGGGTAGACGGGAAGAGGGAGTGAGAGGTCAGATCTTGGCCAAGTCCCTTTTTACGCTTTTGAATTAGGAAGAATTTCACATTTATGGCAACAGCCCACCGAATAGTGCAGTGAGTGAATCCTGTGTACTCACCCAGCTCTGACCACCAATTATCCACAAACCGTTCTGACCCCTCCTGTGTTATTTTGAAGCAAATCTCAGGCATCTGGTTACTTAAATATTTCAGAATGCAGCTCTCCAAGATAAGGGCCCTTTAAAACGTAATCACAAAACTTTCACACCTAAAGAAAGTCAACAATTTCTTAATATCATTAAATGTCTAGTAAATGTTTAAATTTCCACTTGTGTATATATGTCTTAACTTTCACAGGTCTGGGAAGGCTTGTGGGGAGGTGGGAGAGGTTTGAATCCTCTACCTGCCCCTTGTGGATAGGCTGTGTGACCGTAAGCAAGACTTTATCCCCCTGAGGCTCATTTGGCTTTTATAAAATGAGGTGCTGTTTTCCTTTGTTGTGTCTTTGGAGTAATAATACTTATTAGCTTTCACTTATTGCATACTTTCTATGGGTCCTTTGCTCTCACCAGGCTGTCACTCTAGGGTTGCGCGGAAGGGGGAGAGGGGTGTTGATTTGTACCCTGCCAGTTTGGACACAGCGGAGTCAGGGCTAGGAGGAAGATTGTGAGGGCTATGGGAGCCCAGACGAGGCGCCTGACTTGGCCTTGGGAAGAATGCGGTCAGGGGAGGATTCTTGGAGAAGGTAGCAGGGTCTGGGAGGGCCCAAAGTGGAGGGGCTTGGACAGGGGTCAGGATAAAAGGTGGACGAAGGCCAAAGGTGCCCCAAATTTGGAGCCAAGGAGGTAGGACTGGATCCTTGGGGCACTGGGGAACCACGAGAGGTGTTTGAACAAGAAAGTCTGTCAGTTCAAAGATATTCAAAGAGCTGGTGCAGGAGCAGTTTAGATATGCTGAAACCTAAGGTTGGGACCCCGAGGAGGAAATTGGGAGTGTTAACGGTGTGCTCCCACCTTCCGGGGCTGCCGTGAGAACCCAATAAGATACCATGTTAAAAAGCGTAGCAAACTTGGAGATCTGCGGAACCTCCTGGAGTCGCGGACTACAAATTCCAAGAGGCTTCGGGGGCGCGGCCTCCGCCCGCTTCCGCGTTTCGCCGCCTCACTGCCTCCAAGTAGCAGGCGGAGTTTTGCTCCCTCAACTGAACTTGACCACGAAGGGTGGAGGCATGGCAACCAATGGGCGCTTGATTTACCAAGATCTGGCCACTGAGAGCTCGCAGAGGCCGCATATCCTGGGGCGGGGCTAGAGGGTGGACCAATGACGGGAGGGCGGCGGCGCCATCAGGGTGGGCTGTGCAGTGGCTGGAAGTTACAGTGCGGCGGGGGCTAAGAAGGCGGCTGTGGTGGTGGTGGCGGCGGCGGCTGAGGCGGTAGCTGAGGTGGCGACGGAGGAAACAGAAAATGGTAAGTGCGGCTGCAAGGCCCATACTCCCCCTCCACTCAACAAAATGGCGCCGCGGGCCCACCCACCTCCAGTAATCTCCGCGACCCCCACCTCCCTGCTCAGCCCCCTCGGGCCTGGCCCCGCCCCTCTTTCTGACCTATTACCTTCGACCTCCGG